AGCACGTCAGTGGCAGAAGGGATGACAGAACCCAGGTCTCCTGAGGGCCGGTGCAGGGCCGTACCATGCTGCCTCATCATAGAAACAGGGTTGGAAGGGACCTCAAGAGATAGTCTAGTCCCTGCCCCAGCATGGTGAGGTGGGAGTAAATACACACAGATCACGCCTGCCAGGTATTTGTCTAACCTGTTCTGAAAACCCTTCAGTGATGGGGATTCCGGCCCCCCTTCGTTAGCTGTTCCAGTGCTTAATTATTCTTAGAGAGAGATTTTCCTATTCTCCAATCTTCATTGCCCTTGTCGCTCACTGAGCTGATTCCTTCTCCTAACCTCGGTGGAGAACAACCTTTCACCCAAGTGAAGACTTCTCCTGTCTGTCCCTCTCCTGAACCACCACCAGGCCTTTCAGCCTGGCCTCCCGGGTCACGCTTCCTAAACCACTCGCGGTTGTTGCTCTCCTCTGGACTCTCCCGTTTGTTCATGTCGTTCTTGGTGCTCAGAACCGGCCAGAGTTTTCCAGCACAGCCCTCGTTGGTGCTGAGCAGAGCAGGACAATTACCTCCCGGATGTCACGTAGGACACTCCTCTTAATCCACCCCAGAATTAATAGCACTAAGGCATTTTCCCTTTCCATGCCTCCTCCTGCACACTAACTAAACCCTCTCTCCCAACCCAGCTTTCAGACACTTCGTCCATTGCACCTTGGCACTTTGCTGTCGGTGGTTAGACCAACCAGCCAGATTTACTACCCAGGGTGTAAGCCTTCGCAGCTGACGGCAGCAGTACCATGGGGTAGCAAGGATGCAGGAGGTTTATGATGTAGGTAGAATCATAGAATATCAGGAGTGGAAGGGACCTCAGGAGGTCATCTAGTCCAACCCCCTGCTCAAAGCAGGCCAATCCCCAATTTTTGCCCCAGTTCCCTACATGGCCCCCTCAAGGATTGAATTCACAACCCTGGGCTTAGCAGGCCAATGCTCCAACCACTGAGCTATCTCTATTATGGTGTGTCTTATGCTAGGGTCCCCTATTGTGCTAGGGACCGTCCCTGTGCTAAAGAGCAGACAAGCCAGGCCCAGGGGGCTTCATGTGGCATTCAGATCTGGCCTCACATTAAAAGTGACCAGGGATACTCCGACGACTACGGCTGCCTGGAGAACTGGTTTGACATCAGAGAGAAGAATCAGGTGAAACCTGGCGGCAAAGGGCAGGGATTTGGACCCGTTCTCGGCTTAAAAACGCTCTCTTGTTACCAGTGCTTAACTCAAATGCCCAGGGGACACTAGGGAGAAACACAGTCTTTGTTAAAAGAAAAGGTCAACCTCCATCCCTTCCCTTTCCCAGAGTAATTCTACAAGCCAGGTCTGCAACCTCCAAAGCAGCTGTGACGCAAACAGGGCAGAGCAGACTTGAGAGGTTTCCAAGATTAATCAACAGCGAGCGCTTCAAAGCCTACCAGCCTGGCATCAACCCACTGTCTGACCTAGAGACCTCATAATGTGACTCCCAAGCTCTTAGGTATTGCTGAGCAGTACATCTCAAAGGGATTTGCAAAGGAGGGCAGTATTGTCCTCCCTGTTTTACAGATGCAGAAACTGAGACCTAGCGTTTTACTCAGGATCACCCAGCAGGCAAATGGCAGAGCTGGGAATAGAGCCCAGCTCACCTGAATGCCAGGCCAGCGCTCTGCCTGCTAGGCCACGCTCCTTCCCTAGGGAAGGAAATGCCGGAGCTGGCAAAGGAAGGATGGATATCCTCCCCCATCGCCCTCTCAACAGGCAGCCCATGAGTTTATACTGAGTCAGCCCTTCAGGCCTCTATGCAAATATAACAAAGAGCAGATACAGCCCAAGCCAAGGCAGGGCCTGCTGTGTTCCCACCAGCCCCGGTGGACCCTCGGGCTCAATTTTAGGCTCCAGAGATGGGAACATTGGACAAAATGAGGCCGGACTCGCACAGGGTCAGGCCGCTGCAGAGTCGGGAACAGAACCTCAGCAGCTGGGCTCCCCAGGTCTGGATCTTAACCCCCACGGCACGTTCCCGATGGGGTTGAAATAAAGCAGCAGACACTACCTCTGGTCAGACTCGGATTTGCTTTTAATGCCATGTACAAAGTTTCCCAAAAAAGAAGAAGAAAAAAAAAGACAGACAGACAGACAGACACCAATTTAAAATACTTTCAAAAATAAATTAAAGTTTTTTTGTAAAAACTACCTTCTGTGCAAAAAGGATAGAAAATCCCCTCCCCCCTCCACTTCCTGGAGGCTTAATTTAGGCTTTGAGCAAAGAAAGGAACTGACTAAAGAAAGTTAAGCAGAAGGGCCCGAGTCTCATTTTCCAGGTCCCTCTGCCAGCCCAGGAGCTTCACAGCAAGTGTGAATCGCCCTTGCCCCTTTATGCTGCCAGGGCTGGTGCAAAGGGTCCTGGGGGGAGGGAGTAGCAGCCCTGAGATAGTTAGCAAGGTGTCCTCAGGCCGGGACATGAATGGCCGTAGTGGTGCTGTCATCCTGAGCCATGTGCAGAGAACACAGACCCTGCCCCCCCCCCAAATGCCCTGGGGGCAGCTGACATCTGGATAAAGGTGACTACGCACCCCCCACCCCAAAGCCTCTCCCTTTAGCTCTGATCCCCAAGTTGAGAACCCTGGGCTAAGGCCTCCCCTCAGCCCCCATCTAATTACAGGGTGTGTCAGCAGCCTGAATTTGTCAGCTGCACCCTGGAGATCCTGTTTGCCAGCCTGGGGAGGAATCCCGCTTGCCATTGCTCGAGGGCAACCTGGGGTGGGAGGCGGGCCGGTTCCTAGATGAAGAGGGATCTGTCTAGGTGTAGGGACGGATCAAAGCCAGGGCCGGCTCCAACCTATCAGGACAGGAGTCTAGTCTCCTGCTCTAACCACTAACACCCACCCAGCCTCTTCCAGAGCTCAGGATAGGACCCAGGCCTCCTGACTCCCAGCCCGTCCTAACCACTAGTCAGCGCTCCCTCCCTGGAGGAAACGTGTCTCACACGCTGTGGGGAGATTGTTTAGCAGAGACGAGCTTCCCCCGTTCCAAGCTGATTCGGGAGTTTCTGCCCCTGCAGTGGAGACTGGCTCCATGGGGTGCAGGATGCGGGGGGGAGGGGGGTGGATCCCACAGCAGGGGTCCCTGCCCAGGGGGAGCGGTGGGGGGATCATTCATGTTAAAAGGGCAGATGCAGCAACTGGGCTGGCCTGAAGGGAGTGCGCGACAGCCAGGTCTCTACTCATTGGCTCTGCTCCTGGTGTGCCACAAGACCTGCAGACGGCAGGCAGCTCAGGGCATCCCTTTGAACTCTCATTAACCCCAGCCCGAGCAGACTTGAGTCTTTTTCACCCTGCTGCACAGGCGCCCCCGCAGGGCCTGGAAGAACTTTTACCGGGGACGATGCCCAAGACAAAGATGCCCCAGCTTGCCTCTCAGATGCCCCCTGGGCTGACCGGAAGCGTCGGATTCAGAGAGAGCCCCCCACACCCCCCGCAGCAGAATCAAGTCGGCCCCACTGCGTGAGACGCGATTCCTAACCGCGATGGTTCGGTATGTACCGTTGTCTACATAAGAGGAGCCACACAACTGTCTTAACGGTAGTGGTAGCTCGCCGTATTTCCCAAGTGCCCCTCACCCTAGGCCAACACATTTTAGGGTTTAATCCCCTGGTCCAGAACACGGAGTCGCTGCTTGAACAAAACTCCCCCGTGGCCCCTCCTGGCTGACAGTTTAAATCCTCAACCCAGATGTTGCATTCACTTCACATTCAGCTTGCCCTGTGGCACACAAGAACTGCCAGGCTGGCTCAGACCCAGAATCCATCTATCCGGTAGCCTGTCTCTGACAGCGGCCGGTACCGGCTGCTTCACAGGAAGTCGCAAGAAACGCTGCCGCAGGACTGCTGTCTTCCTTCCATGATCGCATGCGTTTCCTCTTGCTTCCATTCCCCCAGCGTGCTGGCAACAGGTGACCGTCTGTCGGAAGACCTATGCTAGAGCTTTTCTTGGCCCGACGCAGTCTGCTCACTTCCAACCCCCGTCGGCTGCGGGGACAATGACTCAAGGGGTGGTGACTGCAGGAAGAAGAGTGCCGCAAACAGATCTCTTTGCTGATCGGCTGTGGCAGCAAGAGGAAGTGCTTGGGGCCAGTTTCTGGGGAGCGCTGAGAGCGCAGGGTTTGTACTGTGAGCTGGGGAGGTTTCCTGAGAAGACTCTGCACTTTGCTCCTGCCGTCCAAGGAGGAAGATAAGTCTCTCAGCTCACCCCTGTGATGTAGGCATGATCTCCACTTTACAGCGGGGGGAAACTGAGGCACAGCCTTGCTGAAGTCACAGCGGCAGAGCTGGGAACAGAAGCCACATTTTCTGCCTCCCAATTGCCTACTCTAACCACTCAGCCATACTCCCTTGCGTTCTGCCACCAGGTACTGTGGGCCTATCAAACACAGGTCTACTTCACTCCTCTCCCAGCCCATGAACCTCAGCATGCGGCCTTCAGGACCCATTCCTTAACCACCTCTAACAGGTCAGCGAAAAGGTGGCAGCACAAATCAGCGTTCAGCAATAATGAGTAGCAGATTGGCACTCGACCGCCCCACTGGGGCGGACGCATTAACCTGGGAGTGACGGGCAGCGGCTGAGCCCCTAGCTACGGTACCTGGCACGGGCGATAAGTAAGCTCAACGGTATTTGCATTGGTTGAGCTGACTGGAGAGACCCAAGGTGAACCAGCAGAATGCACCACGACCCAGACAGGCGAGAAAGGAAGGCAATTAAAACCAAGAAGCTTCAAGCTCAGTGGTTTGAGCATTGGCCTGCTAAACCCAGGGTTGTGAGTTCAATCCTTGAGGGGGCCATTTAGGGATCTGGGGCAAAAATTGGGGATTGGTCCTGCTTTGAGCAGGGGGTTGGACTAGATGACCTCCTGAGGTCCCTTCCAACCCTGATAGTCTATGATTCTAAGAGCCCTCTCCGTCCAATTAAAAGAAAAAGCAACCCTTGAAAGAAACAGCTGAGCGATGCTTTATTCTGGGATAGCGCATAGCTCAGGACTACCAGTAGATGGCACTACAAGCCCCAAACGCCTGTGGGCAGGACTGATTCTTCATTGCCCTACGCCTGGTGCACTTATTTACACCGGTTCTGATCCAGCAGCATTTTGCACCAACTGTGCGCTGGTGTAAACAACAACAGGGCAGGGCAACTGGGAATCAAGCCCTGGGATTTCAGTGCTACCGACAGGATCGGCGGTAGAGGTCTGCGAAGCAGACCCAGGCGCCTCATACTAGATCTTGGCCCCGAGACCTCCTACCGGGCAGATCTGATTCCAGGTTCGGGATTATTTGTAGCTAAGTGCCACGGACTCCTCAGAAATCTTTCCACATTCGGTTGCTCGCTAAGGGAACGCGAGGCAATGGAAAACCCAAGTGGATAGACGTGTCTTTGCGAAGCTGCTGGCATTGTCCTAGCGGAGGAAAAGTGGCTTTGTTTAATAAGTCCCTGTTATTCCCTCCCCGGGAAAACAGCCCCTTTCGCTTAAATGTGCAACAGAAGATCTCGAGAGCGAGCGCGCGCGTCTTTGCAGCTGAGGCGGGGAAGCCGGACAGTCCACCCAAAGCAGAGGAGGAAGCAAAACTCCTGGGGCAGGTCGCGAAACTGCACGAAGCTTTAGTGCAAAAACGGCACGTTGACTAGAGCCGGTCAATTTCCCATGGGGCTGAGTGGAGAATCTGGAAGGGGTTTAAACCCAAGGACCTGATTCTCGAGGACACTAAGGTTCTTTGTTGCCGCTCCGGCTGCACAGAAAGGGCCCGCCTGTGGGCCCGGGGTACAATTACTCCCACTTTAAGGCCTCCTTATTGTGTCCTAAAGGGGCTTCGGTGTGAATGAGATTCAGGCCCTGAGAGCGACAGCTGTGAATGATCCCTGTAGACATTGATCCTGATGCATTGTGCCCAGGGACCCTTTTACACCACTACGCTCCTCAGAGGCGGTAACTACTGTGAGCTGGATCCTAAGCCCTTGAGTACGTGCTGGCAGGATGTGGGATGCGAGGAACTCCCGTGCTGAGCCTTCTCCCACCGCAGGGGCTCAGTGGCGCCCCCCAGGGAGCGACCGAGCTAGGCCGGAGCTACGCTAGTTCCGCCGAACTGGACCGCTGGCAGCGTTAACTATTTACATCCCTGAACTGCACGACCTTCCGAACCACCCCCTCGCCCCCACCCCACCCCCCCGCTCCAGGGTGGGGGAGGCCGCCCAGGGGGCTACGACGTGTGGCACTGGACGTGCGGGCGTGAGGCCTCCTCGAAGTCGTCTTCGTGGTAGGCCTCGCCGGCGTGGGGCTGCCACCAGTGTCCCGGCTGGGAGAAGTAGTCGCTCAGTTCCACCTCCTTCATGTCCTCCGTCGCCATGACCTCTGCTTGGGGTGGGAAGAAAGTGCGGAGCTGGCGGAGATGGTCGGGGGAGAGCCAGCCTGGCTCTGGGAATCTCACCTGGGGGACGCAAAGCGAGATGTGGAAGGACATCCAGGACCGAGGGCCCATGCTGCAGGGAGGGTGGGAAACTCCCTGACAGCAAGAGCGGACATCAACATCACCCCAAAAGCCCCAGCTCCCCTCGCATCCTCCCTCCTGATGGAAACGACCCCCTGAATGAGTCAATGAACCCACCAAGTGTCCACCTAAAAGCCACGTCCACAACCAAAGCGCTGAAGTCGGGAGGCAGCAGGTGACTCATAAGCCTCTTATGTGAACCGGGCACTAGAGGGAGAGAGAGAGTGACAGGGGCTATAGCCCACTGTCCTCACCGGTCTCCTACCTAACCCAGAGACATTGCAGCTCTGCCCAGCCCCGATTGCTTCTCTGATCTTCCCTCTAACTTGGCTATGCCCTGCTTCTCCCCAGATGCTCGGAACGGATGGCTCCTTCCAGGCATGGCTCTGGATCCCAGATCCACAGAGGGAGGGGCTAATCACTGATACAGAGCCCATGAAAGGCTGGTGGCTGCTTGGTAAGAGTCGTCAGAGCTGGGAACAGATCCCTGATCCCCAGGCCCTGCATCTCAGCCCCTAGACAGGAGGCAAAGCCCTCTCAAATCTGGATGGGGTTTGCTGGGCGTCTCTTTGGGGTGGCCGGTCATTTCATTGCTACGGAGCTCAGGGACGGACAGAGTCCTCAGCTGGTGTAAGCCGGCACGGGACCAACACCGGGGCTCGGGCCACTGACACCCCAGCTGGGGCTCAGCCCCATGGGCTCCCTTGGAAGGTGCCTGCCCCGCCCCTCACCTGGAAGTGTATGATGAGCCGGCCCTTCTGGGCGGGGCTTCTGTAGATGGGCATGCCCTCGTTGGGGACGCACTTCACGGATCCTGGCCGGATGACGTCACCTGAGCGGGCGGGGTGAAAGAGAGCCAGGCGGTTTCAGCCCCTGTGCAGGACGCTGGCTTGGAAACCCCACATGCCTGGAGCCTCGCAGGCTTGGGACAGCTCCCTGCATGGCCCCTGGCTTGCTGGGCTCCAGCCAGTGTCGCCCTAAGGATAGCGAGCCCACAGGACCGCATCACAGTCACACCTTGGCATGCTGTGACCGAGAGGTGCCAGGGAGATGCCCAGAATGAGACATTCAAGGGGTTGGGGAGTTTGGGGAGGTCCCTAGATGAGTCTCTCACAATGGTCTGCGTGGTGGGGGGCTCCCTGCTGCAGGGCTTTGCTTGACTGACCTTCAAAAGAGGCATCTTTTGGATCCAACATGTGTTGGGGTAGTGGCCATCCCTGGGCTAGCAAGGGGCTGTCTACAGGGTATATTATTGATTCCCTGTGGTTGCCTTTAATCTGAGCCACGTGACCAGATGTCATGGTGATGGGCACACAAACAAATAAAGGTCGGGTCTGTCCAGAGCGGGTGGATATCACCCTCATGCTACAGGTAGGGAAACTGAGACACCGTGAGGGGAAGTGGCTTACCCAAGGTCACACAGCAGGTCAGTGGCAGAGGTGGGAATAGAACCCAGGAGTCCTGGTGTCCAGTCCCCCCTGCTCTAAACCACTAGACCCCACACCTCTCCCAGACTTGGGAACAGAACCCAGGAGTCCTGGTGTCCAGTCCCCACTGCTCTAACCACTCCCCTCCCAGGAATAGAACCCAGGAGTCCTGACAGCTCCAGGTTGCCGACTCACCGTGCTGTGAGGAGACGAGCAGGGTCCTGTTGTCCAGAGTGTGGACAACTTGCCTGAAGCCACAGAGAGCGTCCACCAGGCTGATTTCCTTTCGAAGGACCAGGTTGTTGCCGATGCGCTGGAAGACAGGGTGCTCCTTCTGATCCAGGATGATGACCACGTCCCCAGGCTCTAGGCCGGGCACCTGGTCCCCTTCCTCATGGAATGTGATCCTCTGCCCGTCCTGCATGCCTGCAAAATCAACACTGATAAGCTGGCGCCCTGGATCACCCCACAGGCTAGTTGTCAAAGTTCCTGTCCTGCATCCCCAGACTCAACCCTCCCTCAATCCAGACAGCACACTGGCCTCACCTCTGTCCAGGTGGACATTCAGGATCTTCTTCTCCCGCACCACCCGTCTGCCGTTGCAGGTCAGGCAGCGATCGAGGGGCCGGACCCACTCGCCCTGGCCCTGGCACTGCGAGCACATGGTCTGGATCTGCTGGATCATGCTGGGCCCCAACTGGTGGATGTGAAACTCCATGCCAGTGCCGTGGCACTTGGGGCACCTGCTGTCGACGCCTTCCCGGACCCCGCAGCCTGCGGACAAGGGAGGAGAGACAAGACAGAGGGCGTCAGTGCAGGCCTGGGGGCTCCCTGGGCGGCGGAGACACAATGCAGAGCTACACAGCAGCAGCTTCGGGGTGAAGCTCCTGCATCGTCTCCAGCTTACATCCCCTCATGGGCAGGGTAAATGGACACATGGAACAGATGGATGGGACGCACCAGCCAGGGATCTCAGAGCTCTTGGCGGAGGAGAGAAGGGGTGGAGCAAAATCCTCATCCCCATTGCCCGGCAATGCCCATCTGGTGCAGTGATTTTGGCAGAGCTGGGATAGAACCCAGAAGCCCTGACTCCCAGTCCTCTGCTCTAACCATTAGCCCCCACTCCCCACCCGGACCCAGGAACAGAACCTAGGAGTCCTGATTCTCAGCTCCCTGATCTAATCACAAGCTCCCACTTCTCTGACCCAGGAAGAGAACCCTGGAGTCCTGACTGCCAGGCCTTTCCTGCTCTAATCACTAGGTCACACTCCCCTCCTGGAGCCAGGAACAGAACCTGAGTCTTGACTCCCAGTCCTTTGCTCTGGCCCCTGGACCAAGCTCTCTCTCCATACACCCACAGCGGAGTCTCCATAATCTGGGGGTGAAACTCAGTGGGAAGCAGCCTAGACAGGGTTGCACTTGAGTGAGTGTGGCATCATGCCCCCTAGCCCTGCCCCCAATTACAGCCCCACCCCCAAATTCAGGTCACTCCTGGTGCTGTGCCAGAGGGAGCTTTGACATGAACATGGGAAGGAGGAAGTCCCAAGAGGCTCCGCCCTTCCTTCTTCTCATTGGCTGGAGATTGGAGGGGCGGAGTTATGCTTCCCACCTCACTTTTTGCATTTAAATAAGATGCAGGGCCCTAGACTATGGTTACCATACGTCCATATTTTCCCGGACATGTCCAGCTTTTTGATTCTTAAATTGCCGTCCGGGACGAATTTTTAAATATCTAAAAACGTCCAGGATTTTACCGTTATTATTTTTCCCCAAAAAAGAGTTGATTATTCAAGAAAGAGAGTGAACGTTGACCATTCGAGAAAGAAAGTGAATGCTGATCTCTCGAGAGAGTGCCCGCTTTTTCTCCCTAGCTCCCAGGGCTTGTGCCGCGGAACAGCTGTTTTGTGCGGCTGGGAGGGACGGGGGAGGAGGGGGAACGTGGCGCACTCAGGGGTGGAGGCGGGGTTGGGGCGGGGATTTGGGGAAGGGGTCCAATGGGGCAGGGAGGGGGCAGAGTTGGGGCAGGGACTTTGAAGAAGGGGTTGGAATGGGGGCGGGGAAGGGATGGCTGGAGGGGCACGAGCAAATCCCCCCTTCCCCCCCGTGAACTGTCCTCTTTTTTGAATGTTCAAATATGGTAACCCTGCCCTAGACCTGGTTCACTCACCATTGCACTTGCTGCAGATGATGTTCTTCTGCAGGGACAGCTTTCGGGTGGTGCCGTTGTACAGATCCTCCAGGGTCACCGAGAGCGGATGCACCACTGTCTTTCCTGACCACAGGACAGAGAGAGATCAGACTCTGATCAAGGACCACCCCCATGTCCCACAGGGACAGCAGTCTCCCCGCACCTCAAGCCATCTCCACAGTGCCTTAGAAAAGCTTTACAAGCTAAATACATACAGGGAATGCTTTGCCCAACCCAGAAAGGCAGTCACCTCTGAGGTGGAGAATAGCAGCTGTTCAACAGCGAAGAGCAATGCTGCGCAGGGATTACCCACCCAGCAGTGAAATGCAGCCACCTCTGGGGATGGAACATGGCAGCCGTTGAACAACTATATAATGTCATGCAAGAGGACAGTATCAAAACCGTCCTGTCACAGTTACAGAACCCTCTCCAGTCTCTCTGAGTTCACGCCTACAGGTGACAGACCTCTTCCACTCTTGGACCGTGTACCTGGGCTACAGCCCCATGACCAACCCTGATAGCAGGCCTGGCTGGGTTTGGCCCCTGCAGTCCTTCCCTTCGGGAGCCAGTCAATACAGAAACCAGACAACTTTCTTAAAACAAAGAATTGTTCAATCTTAACAGCAAAGCAGGAGAGAGAGAGAGAGAGGATTTTAACCCAATGAAGAGTCAATCTGCAGTCAATCCATTTTCCTCCAAGGCTTATCAGCCCCTGGAAACTGAGGCTGGCTCAGTCGCTTTGCAGGGCCCGTGTCTCTATCTTGGCCTGTTCTCCAAACAACTCACTGGCAACGGCCCCTCCTCCACTCCCTGCTCTCTAGACCTGTCAGTTCCCAGCCTTCGCAACACAGCTGGGTAACTTCAGCATCTTCACGATTACTAGCGCGGGTTTTGTTTCTTGGCTTCCTGCTTGCCGGCTGGGGTTTGATCTGGAACCCCTGTTCCCTACCATGGTTCCCAACAACGCTGCTATTAAGCAGACCCACCTATGCACCCAGTAAACATACCGGTGTCGTCATACAGTAATCATTTCCCATGGTCAGGTCACATGGTATTTATACATTAATACAGAGTGGCCCCTTCTCCTTCACACCCTGTAGTTAAGTGAAAGCCCCAGGGGAATTTAGAGAGTCAGGATGTAATTATCTGAGTGGGAATTTGGACAGCAGCCCGGGGCTAACCTCCCTCCAGCTCCTGGCTATAGGGCTGTAATGAATAGGAGGGGCTAGGGCCTCATTTGTAAAGGGGTCACCCCTGGCAACACAGCGCCCCCTAGAGCTACGCGGAGGGACCGGTTCTGTGAGAATTCCTGGGGAAGAGAGCCCTCCGCTGACTTGCCAACGCCTCTCTAGGCAGCATCCCGGTTTAATGCAGGACCAGATCACAACCCAAAGTGGCTGTGGGGAGGCCTCACTGCCTAAGACCCCCCCAGCTCAGCAGAATGAATCCGGACTCACTTATCTTTCTTAGGTTTCCTTCAGCAGGGACAATACACAACATCAGTGCAGCCTCTTGCTGCAGGACCTGAGCCTCCGGGGACCTCCCAGAGCCAGATCCCCACCGTTTCCCTTGAACACCTGTCCCTCCCAGCTCAGAAAGACCTGAGGGCTTAACCCTGATCTCTTGCATGGGATCCCATGCAATCAGCACCAAGCCCTGTGTCCCAGCAATCCATCCCAGGTACCTCTCCTCTCCGGCCGGCCAGGCATCCGTACCCCTCCTCCGAAGAACATGTTGAATATGTCCATCGGGGACCCAAATCCTCCTCGGCCTCCCGTGCAGCCTTCTTTCATGGCCCGCTCCCCGCCCCGGTCATACAGTGACCTCTTTTGGGTGTCGGACAGCACCTCGTAGGCTTGTGAGATCTGCTTGAACTGGGGAAGGGGAGAGGGTTAGAGACGCCGCGTGTTCCAGCGGGCGGGCGGCGCAAAGGGGTCGCTACCCTCTCTACCTACCCGCTCTCCTTCGCTGGGGTTCTTGTCGGGATGGTATTTCAGCGCCAGCCGCCGGTACGCTCGCTTGATCTCGTCCAAGGTGGCGCCTGGCTTGACGCCCAAGAGGTCGTAGTAGCCCGTTTCTTTCACCATCTTTCCCCTCTGATGCGCTGGTGGAGGAGGAGAAAGCGGGTTCAGAGCGGGCCCCCTGCCAATCCAGCTCTGCACATAGGCACTGGCTCCCCCACACTGCCGCACCCAGTCGCGCTCTGAGATGGCAGACTATATACCAGCTCAAGAAACCTGTAGGCCCCAACACTGCAGTACCTGAACGCCTCAAAATCTTTAACCCATGAGGCAGGGCTGTGCTATTATCCCCATCGTACTGATGGGGAAAGTGAGGTACAGAGAGGCTAAGGGACTCACTCAAGGAAGTCTGTGGCAAAGCTGGGAACTGAACCCAGGACTCCCAAGTCCTAGGTTACTGCCCTAGGCAGAGGACAGACCCGCAAATGGGACTCTAGGGCTAGTGGCAGGATCAAGAGCCCTGGAGGCTGGAGTCCTCTGTTTATCCAGACAGCAGGACATGCTCTCCCTGCCCTCCAGTGGATCTGCTGTCACTGCTGGGCCAAACCCAAGTGGCCCTGCAACCCCACATGGAACGACCCCAGAGTGGGAAGCTGGGTCCAGCCCTACAGAACAGGAGCTGAGCCACCATTGCGGGTTCACTCTGGCCTCCACCCATGGCCTCCCCGCAGCAGTCATTTACTTGGGAAGAGAGGGGAGCCTCAGTTTCAGATTTTGCCCCCAAAAACCTCTCTGCATCCCTGCTTCTGGCCTTGAAATCTACCAATGAATACCAGTGGCAATGGTGGTTTTGGCAACATGGATACCTGCCCACTGGGAACTATGGTAAGTCCCTCTCCGAATTTCCTGCCTACACGAGCCACCAGGCAGGAATGCCTTTTCAATTACTAGGGACCAGGGCTAATTAAGGTTGGGTTATCTAAAGGCAAAAGGCTCCATACCCTGTTACCAGCCCAGCTAGTCCCTGTCCTTGGCAATATGCTGGAAACAGACAGCATCTGCTGCCCTATGGACTATTGCAGCCTGTGTCTTTAAGCACTGGGGTGTGGCGTTTTAAGTGTGACCAAGGCTCAGAATGGGGACATCCCTCCCTTTTGTGTTCCCCTATTTAATCCCTCCCCTGCAAACCAGGGCTGCTAAGCCTGTTTAGTGCCTACGTCCAGACTGCCAGTGGAATAGAAAAGGTCCTTGGCTCAGGTAATTAAAAAAGCGGACCACCGTGACTATTAGCAGCAGATTGGCCCAAGTCAGCTGCGCTCGCAGCACCATGAAGGAGCAATGCAGCTGACCCTGGGCACTGGAAAATCCACTGCGATTATGTTACCAAAGGGGGATGAATAACACAGCACTGGCAAACTTTGTTGCCTGATTCTGTAAGGAGCTGAATGCCTCCCGATGGGGGACAAGCACCCTCAGCTGCTCCGGAAGTCCACAGGCGCTGAGGGTGCTCAATAGCTCCCAGGAGATGCTCAGCTGCTGGCAGGCTCAGACCCTAGATTGGGTGCACTGCTTCTGGACCCGCTCCCAGAGTTCAGGTCAGACAGAAACCAGCTTTGACCGAGTTTGTGGGATTCCTAGATCTGTGCCCTTGTTACAGATCCCCGGCCCAGGATGCCTGAGAAGGCAGAGGGCACAGTGTAAATTACACGTCCACTAGCTTGGACAGGGTAAGTCTGAAGCCAGCGTGATCTGTTCCCTTGACCCGCACCCCCATCCAATTCACACAACGCATTCCCAAGCTCACGCCCTTATCCCAAAGGCTGCAGCAGGAACCTTGGTTTGGACCAATTTAAACCGGCTTGGCACCAGCGCAGTCTTCCAAGTCCACGTGAAGCCCCCTCCCTAGTAGGGTTAGACCCTTGCCAACTTCAGCCATTTTGAAACACAGTTTAAAGGGCAAAGAGACTGCAGCACGGGCTACAAGCTTCCTTCCACAACAACGGGGGCCAGATGTTGGAAGATTCACCACAGACAGGTTAAACTGGCTTGCCTGGGACTAGGTATGAATGATGGTGAGGCTGCAGGATCAACGCCCTGGTGACGGGCCCGGCAATCCTCAGTTGTCGGCAGTTTCAGCAGGGTGCTGTCCCTGGACCCTGCTGGGGTGTAACTGCCTCGGGCTAGCAGAGGACTAATAAAATCAAAGCTCCACCATCCTCCACTTGCTGGTAAGAGTTTACTCTTTTCTCCTCACTCCAGAGCCTCTTGTCCACTGCAAGTGGGGAGGGTCTTCACTACTGTACCCCTCCACCCCAGCCTCTGTTTTTAGGGTTCCCTTCCTCCACGAATAGCTACCGCACCTCTGCTGCTCCTCAGGGCTCTTCTGGGCAGCAGCAAATCCAGATCACCCACACAGGGCTCTGAACAGCAGTTGTGAAACTGACCGGAATCTTGTTAATTACAGGGTCAGCAGAGCTCCCAGCCACAACTGGGAGAGGCCTGTCTGCAGATTCAGGCTTTGTTCACACTTGGGTGATTTCTCTTTGTAACTTTAAGGGCTGGAAAAGTCTGTTCAAATGAAAGCAGAGGGTGTTGTGCAGATGCTGCTGGGGACAGCACCTTCAGCTCAGGGGGGTGGGGCTTTTTCAAGATAACACTGGGAGTATTTTAGGACAGCTCTGCCAACAGGTGCTCGGAGACGAAGGTGCTGAGGGCCACATAAGAACCTAAATAGAATAGAACACCCCTCTCGCTCCACAACAGAGACCCTGAATACCTGCAGCACAGAGCTAGCCCTGCAGAAAGTACAGTGGGCCCAGCAGCACACAAGAGTTCAACCAGGCCAGGCCAGAATTTGGGGCTGGGGCTGGGCCTCCCCCCTGCATACCACTGTAGAGGAGTCTATGAGCTTGACTTCACTGCGGCATTAGCTCGAGCATCACCCCCAACCTGATGCCCATCCACACACAAAGATCTTTTGCTCGAGTTAAGTGGTGTTTTAAACCCATGCTAGCTGGCCCAGCGGGGTGGGTACTTGAAGCGGGAGTAAAAGAAAAGGAGTACTTGTGGCACCTTAGAGACTAACCAATTTATTTGAGCATGAGCTTTCGTGAGCTACAGCTCACTTCCTCATGCTCAAATAAATTGGTTAGTCTCTAAGGTGCCACAAGTACTCCTTTTCTTTTTGCGAATACAGACTAACACGGCTGTTCCTCTGAAGCGGGAGTGGTGCTGATGAAGTGGGGACTCTGTTCTGTTCAAGTTATTTCACAGTGCGGCTGCTCTCACTTGAGCTAGGCTCACTCACGGTGGTGCAAACCCCGATATGGACCCCCTTATATCGGTTTAAAACTGGCTACGTCAGTTTAACTCACACATGTAAATCTACCAACAGAAGCGAAACCAATAAGAGATAGTTTGCAGGCAGTTACACCGGTTTAACTAAATCTGTTTAAAAATGCCACTTTAATTAAACAGGGGCAACTGTGTGCCTAGTCCAGGCCTTATTCTAGTTTCAAATGGAAGCGACACCACAGCACAAAAGCATTTCTCAATTGGCAGTGTCAGCAGAGAGCGCAAGAGCAAGGCAGGGCAGGGGTCACGGGCGAGATGCTAGCAGGACGGCATTGGAAAGCGCGTCCTGGTGCCAGCAATACTGCATCGTTTCTGGGGATGAACGAAAGATCCCAGTTTCCAGGGCTGTCAACTCAGAGGGAAGTTCACTAACTCCAGCGAACTCTGCAGTGGGTACTTCAGAGGCTCTGAGAGACAGGGCCCAAGCCCCCGTGGATTTAGGGTCGGGGGGCGGGGAGGCACTGGTGAAGAATGAATCTTCTAGCCAAACGGAGCAGGGGCAGCGCCAATCAGCCCCATCCCTGACGCTGGAAGGCGAACGGGGCGCTCGGTCCCCGTGGCCCATTCGGACATTGGCCTCTCTGCTCAGGGTGCCAACAGGGAAGGTGATGGTGTCCCACCCCGCAGCACCTGGGGCAGGGTGGGGCTGCCCTACCTCTCCCAGCCGCCCTTAGCATGGGGTGCTGATCTCTGGGGTGACACAGTACACAGCCCTGACCCTACCTCGGGGTGGGGGGCGGCTGGACCCTGGGATGGGGGAGGGACTCCGGCATCTAGGGACTGGCCATATCAATCTCTGGGGTGGGGGAGGAACCTAGGGGACTGTCTGGGATTTTCCCCAACAGGGTAACAGCCCCTGGGGTGGGGAAAGGACCCAGGCGTCCGGGAAGGGTGTAAATCCATGGGGTGGGGGAATGTCGGGGGGGGGGAGGAATCCCACGGGGGAAGGACCCAGGCGTCCGGGGAGGGCTACTCGGGGATCGCAGACCTGGGAGGGGAGGGACCCAGGCGTCCGGGGGGCGGGGAAGGGACCTAGGCATCACGACGGGGGGGAGGGGGGGACCGACGATGTGCAGGGGGGGAAGGGACCCAGGCGTCCGGGGAGGGCTACTCGGGGATCGCAGACCAGGCAGGGGAGGGACCCAGGCGTCCGAGGGGGGGGAGGGACCCAGGAGTCCGAGGGGGGCTACCCGGGGGCCGCAGTCCATGACGGGGTGGGGGGAAAGGACCCAGGCATCCGAGAACCCCCCCCCGTAACTCACCCACCTTCAGTCTTCAGCTTCTTCCACCCTTCTCTGTCCGAACTCTCTGGAAGCCCGGACACGCCCCCTCCCCACCTATTGGCTGCAGCCCAGCCCCGAGACCCGCCCCTCACGGCGCCCGCATCGCCCATTGGCTCGAGTTCCACCCGAGCTCCGCCCCCAGGAAGGGGACGGCCCCGCCCCCTCTCCTCCCAGCCACCCATTGGCTGGCGTTCCGGCTGGGCTCCCACCTCCCTCCCCCTCCCTGCAGGGAGCGTGTGACCCCGCCTTCTCCCTTCCCTGATTGGCTGCCGGGCTGGCCTCTCGCACTGCCGCATGCGCCCTAGCCACTGGATGCAGCCACGCCCCTCCAGCGGCATGAGCTGCTCTGATTGGTGAGACTGCTGGCAAGGCTCCGCCAATCGCATGGAAGGATGGCAATTTCAAACTCTTGACTGGAGCAGGGGGCGTGGGAAGGAGGGGGAGGGGGAGGGGAAGGGGGCGGGGGAAGGGAAAGGGGAGGGGAGGGGGAGGAGGAAGGGAAAGGAGAGGGGAGGGGAGGGGGAGGAGGAAGGGAAAGGAGAGGAAGGGGAGGGGAAGAAGAGGGGGGAGGAAGGGGAGGGTGAGGGGAAAGGAGAGGGAGGGGGAAGGGAGGAAGAAGAGGGGAAAAGGGGAGGGGGAGAGAGGAATGGGGTGGGAAAGGGGGATGGGGAAGGTTCAGGCCAGGGCTCTCCTAGGCTTCCCACAGGCTTTACTCTGGCCGGTTAAATGTCATTGCCCAAGCCCCTCTCTGCGCCCTGTCTTTCTCTTGTTGGGGGCGTTCCCTGGTTGCTGATTTCATGGTGATCCGATAGCTGAAGGATCCTGAAATTGTGAGCACAGCAAACGCAGAACGAAGCGGTCCCAATGGCTGTAACGTCCCGCAGCCCAGGAGAGGATGAACAGCCAAGAACCAAAAAAAGGAAGGTGTGGAACTAGACAGCTGCCCCCATAGTTAGTTTTTATACTTACATAGTTAACAGTGAAACTCACTGCCACAAGATATAAAAGGCTAAGTCTTCAGCAGGATTTTTTTAAAAAAAGGATTAGGCATTTATATGGATAATGAGAACACCCACAGTTAAACAGGATACAGGTTTAGAAGCGATATAAACCTTCATGCTCCAGGGCATCACACAACCACCAGTTGCCAGGGATCAGGAAGGAATTCTAGCCATGGGCCTGGCCATTCCATATTTGTCCAAGAGGGGGTTTCTTGCACCTTTCTCTGCGGTGGCTAGTGTTGGCCCCTGTGGGAGCCACGATACAGGGCTTAGATAGACCACGAGTCTGATTCAATCTGGCAATTCCTTGAGACTGAGTTTACAACCATCAGTAAACAGACGAAGGTGACACCACAGGGCAGCTGGAATGGAACAAGAATGCTAGCAACCCGAGATATTGCAGGAAAAATGCAGCCGGCAGCCGCTATTTGCACAGAGCAACAATATGGTGAAATGCCAACTGTTTCGCTATGCCCTAGCATGCTCATTGTGGGACTCTGTGAGGTCAGTGACCAGGGAAAGCTGTCTCTCCTAGGCTGAGAACATTTTTTTAATTAACTGGGCTCACAAGGAACATAGCAACTTTAGAACAGGGTAGGAAAGATCAGGGGAGGGAGACGTAATCCGTGATTGACTGACAGTTCCCTGGGAGAAAGGCTGCTTTTTTAAACAGCTTGCTCTGGCAGTGTAAAAGAGCCTTCAGGTTGGTGGGAATGGCCCCCTGAGAATCTGCACTGGCTGGGGGGGCTCCCTGGTGGGTGTGGAGCAGAGGTAAGGTCGTCCCCTGCATCAGCCCCTCTTCCAACCTCCAGTGTCGATGGCAGATCAGGAGCGCAGTTGGAACTTACTGCATTGTGGCTACTCTCTGCTTCCCAGTAGCCCTGGTCCAGAGTAAGTTAGAGCACCCCTGAGACTGCTCTTACTTACACCAGGATCCAGGGAGGGCCCTGCAGGCTCCCAGAAAACAGAGGCGCAAAAGGGATCTTAAACCCACCTTAACGCCCCCACCCTTCCATATCCCAAGCACAATAACTGAGAATATTTGTATAGATGTAAGAATTACTGCTGGAACTAAAGCTGGAATATTATAGTATTGCTCACATACTGCAGTGGCAGTCACATTAGAAATAACTAATTTAGACAGCTAGGTTAGATTTGGTGGCATGGCTAGATAGAGAGGTCAGATTATCTCCTCTCAGCTACAGGAGGATGGTTGCAGAGAGAGAGAGAAAATTGATTACTTTACATTTCTATAGGACCACGTGCCCCAAAGCGAGGGCAATAAATTGGCTGGGCACAGGACTGGAACTCAGGAGACCTGGGGGTCTCTTCCTGGCTCTGCCACTGATTGGGTGATCTGGGGCAAGTCACAGTCCTGCTCTGTGCCTCAGTTTCCCCATCTGTAAAACAGGGATAATGCTACTGGCCTCTCTCGTAAAGCAGTTTGAGAGCTATGGAGGAAAAGTGGGGGATAAAAGCTAGGGATTATTATTCTGTATCAACATGTATGTTTTATAGGGTATGCTCAGCACTGCAGCAAGATTTGGCCTTAGAACAGCATGGGCGATATAGTGTATTTGGATGACAGTAGCAGTCGGGTACGTCTACACACAAAACCAAAACAACCTGCAGCAGTGAGTCGGAGCCTGGGGCTACAGACTGGAGCTTGCGCTAAGATGCTAAAAAGACCCATGTAGACACTCTGGCTCGGGCTGGAGCTTGGGTTCTGATGCCTGGGGAGACGGGTGGCTTTCAAAGCCTGGGAGGGAACACCTAAGGAGGTGAAGCTCTAAACAGCCAAAGGGTGGGGGAAACAGATTATTAGCATCCATTGTACAGCTGGGGAACTGGTACACCAAGAAACGAAGTGACTGGCCAAGGTCTGTAGCAGAGGCAGGAATTGAACCCAGGTCAGTGTCTTAACCAGTGGCCAACCTTCCTGCACACCTGGCGGTGGTATTTAAATCAGACCAGACAACCCCCCACCCTCCTGCCTCAGGCTTTTGTTGCAAGTTGGACCCAAACCGGAGAGAGGCCCGTTTCCTGGCTCCGGTTTGTACGCCTGGGAAATCCTACCAGACGGCCGATCTTGCCAGACTTCAGCTGCTTTCATCTGAGATCTCCCAAGAGTGCTCCCGTCAAATCCAAACCCTGCATCCCAGCCTGGAAGCCCAGCTCTCTTTCCAACCTCAAACTCCCAGTGGTGCCATGCAAAAAGCATTCCCGGCCTTTGCAATGTGCTGTCAGAGGCTCTAGGGGGTGCCCTGAGCATTGCCTGAAACAGGGCCTGGCAGCTGTCGAGGCTATTGCTCCAACAGCTGTGACAAATCCACAGGAGGGTTTTAAAATACCTCCCGTGGCCAGGCAAGGCAGCTGGGCCGAGAGGCAACGCTTTGGTTTGGCTTATTTATTATTATTCTTTTTTAATTTCCCTACTCGGCGTCTGCAGAAGCGGATCCAGAGGAGGAAAAGACAGGCTGGGATGGAAGTTGCTTTATGGCAGCATCCAGGGGCCTTCAGTGAGATCAGGGCCCCCGCTGCGCTTGGTGCCGTACGTCCCCACAGTGAAAGACAGTCCCTGTCCTCAAAGAGCTTCCAGTCCAAGCAGACAGAGGAAGGATTATTATCCCTATAGGACATTATCCCTATTATCCCTATAGGGGGAAACTGAGGCACAGAGTGATGACATGGCTTGCCCAAGATCACAGAGGGAGTTTGAGATGTTGAACCCAGACCTCCTGAGTCCCAGCCCAGTGCCTTAATGGCAAGGCCCGAAGGGCTGCTTATAGCCCAGGGTGGGTGTGACAGTAATTTGCCACTAGCGCAGCTGCTCAACAGCCTGTGTGAAATGAGTTTGTGGGGTCTCCTTTCATTCTCTAGTGAACAGATCAAGGCCTTTACCCCAGCTGGGGGTATGTCTGTACTGGAAAAAAACAAAATCCTGCAGCAGTGAGTCCCAGAGCCCTAGTTTACAGCCTTGGGGAGGGGACTGGTTTCCAGAGCTCAAGATCCAGCCGGAGCAGGAACGTCTACACAGCTGGTTTTAGTCAATCTGTAGATCCAGGCTCTGAGATTTGATGCCGCTGGGTTTTTTATTTTTTGCAGTGTAGACATACCCTTGGAGACAAAGGATTGAACAGTCCATGCTCAGTGAACTCCCTCCTCTGTCCTAAGCAGGGTGCCTCCGGGGATGGCCAGGGGGTGGGTGGGGGGGGCTGATACACAGATTGTGGGGGAAACGCCACCCTGCTTCTGCCCATGCTGGACCTAGAGAGGAGACTTCCTGCTCTCTGAGCTGCAGCCCAGATCCCCTTTTGCCCCCCCCGCATCCCTGTAGCTTCTTTTTTTGGGGGGGAAAAAATGGTGTGTGTGAAAAAACTCCCTTCCCGGAGAGAAACATCTTCTGGGTCAGCTGTTTTCCACCTGCAGCAGAGTGGGGTGAGAGCTTAAAATAAACCCCTCAATTCCAGCCCTTTCTTTCCTCTTGCGCTAGCTCGTTATTTGGAGAGGCTGGCTCAGGAAAGAGGCATTTCCGCTCCCTTTCAGAAAGGTCTTAGTCACCCAGCACCAGGCCCTGATGTCATTTCATTATCTGCAAAAGCATGTCTGGCGATAGGGCCGGCAGAGAGCAAGAGCCGAGGCTGTCTCTTCCCTGCACGGAGAGATACGCTTTGCACACAGAGATCCCGCATGAGCTGTACAATTCTAGTGGCTACGAGGCCCAGGTAGCTTCTACCTGGCCGCAACTAGCTCCAGGGCTTAATTTATGCCAGGGCTGAGCCCCGGCACTTCTGGGCCGGGCAGTTCAGGGCCCCGGCACCTCTGGGCCTGCTGCATTAGTTACGAAAGTAAAAAAATTGCTGGTGTCCTGGCACCTCTTTCGTCACAAATTAAGCCCAGTCTAGCTTCGTGGAGGCCTTGTCTCCCCTAAGGTTTTGACACTGAGATGGCTTTTGGGATGGGGAAAAACACACCCTCCTTTTTGCAGCGAAGTCGAGGGGGAAAAGAGCGAACGAGAGAGAAAGCACCCGAAAACGAG